AATTTTGAAAGTTTTTTATTTATCTGCATAGAATATTTTATAAAAGGCACTTTTCCGTTTCCAGGAGCCATTAAAATGCAACGAAAAAAATTGCTAAAATCACCAAATGCCAATAGTTTACGACAGAATTGACCAGTTTGTGCATGTGTGTGTAAAGTTTATGGAACATGTGCAGAAAGACAACTTTCTGATACATCACAACATATAGTTTTCTTTATTTTTAAAACAGAAATTTAGTGTGAAAAACATTAAAAAAATAAGAACATGCTAAAATGTTTTTATTTGATAGTATCATTTTCATTTTGAATGTTTTTTTATACAGTGAATGAAAGCAAATGTGTCTAGGTTTTCTCTCTCATACTTCTTTTTTTCTTACAATTACATATTTTTAATCAAATAATCAAACATCCAGAAACAAGCAGTTATTTTTCATTCATTATTTCGTAAAAACGGATATAAATTAATATTTTTTTAAAAAACTAAATCGGTATTGTATTGTTTTATTTATTAGAAAATTAATTATTTAATAATAATATAGTGCATTGTCAGTTTAATTGTGGAAAAAACTAAATTGAATTTGTAAATTAAAAATCGAAAATAGAAATTTTAAAAAAAAAGAAAGAAAGGAAAAAGAAGTGCAAAAGGGTTTTATACATTAAAAGGCCCGTGTAACGCCGTGCTAAACTGAAGGAAGAGAAATCTATCTGTGAAGGAAAAGAAATTGGGGACATTTTAGAATAGACAATTTTAATGACAAAAGTACAGAAATCCCTCACATCGCGCCTATACCCTTAACCTGAAGTGCTGGCATTCACAGGAAAAAAGGAAATTTCCATTGAGATAAAGTTATACCCTCGGAAAAAGCCCGTGTAACGCCGGGCTAAATGGAGGGAAAACAGACCCGCCTGACGGGACAAAGACGTGGTGGAAATTTCGTAAAAGGGAATTTTAATGACAAAATACAGAAATCCCTCAAAAACCTGGAAGTGATGACATCGAGAAGGGAAGCGGAAATTTTCATTGGCAAAAGGTTATACACTCGTAAGAGTCCGTGCAGGTCGGGCCATGCAACCATAACATATGCAACGACATAAGTTGGCTCTGAAAATTGATTTCAGGCAAACTGAAACTTTATTTCGTAGATGTTTTGATTTCATTCATTGGACGTATTATTATATTCATTCATTAATGATATATTAAAATGGAGAAGTCACAAACACACCAGGAAGAGTGCTTGCACCGAGATAGGAAGGGGAAATTCTTAAGGCAAAAATCTATACACTTGAAGAAAGCCGTGCAACGCCGGGCCATGCAGCTAGTATTATATAACGTTTGCGAAATTGTTAATTTGTATTTTTCATAAGCAATTTTCATTAAAATGCCGTCTAAGACCCTTTAAAACGTTTCTTTTAAATGCTTTTTAACTGTATTCAACTTCTGTATCATCACATACCATATTAAAATGTAGATTTTATATTATGTATTCAATTTCAATAAGCAAATTATTAAACGTGAAATAATTGTAGTTTAATTTACAAAAGTGAATTGAAAATTTATGAGCCATGAAGAAAAAATATCCAACACAGTGAAAGGTGTTTAGAACCTGTTATTTTGAATTGCCTGATTTTTTCCTTTCTACATAATTAAATTTCAATTTATTAAAATATTAAATAAGTAGAAAGTAATTACATATAATTAAAATGTTTAATTACAGTAAAAATTTTCTATATAATCCAACATATTTTTCCTCGTAAAATATTGTTTTTGTTTTGAAACAAAATTTGATCCGTTGTCACACGAAACTTTCCTTGATGTTATTATCATATCTTGTTATTATCGTTATCTTTTTCCCTTTCATTAATTATATGACAGTAACTCTTTCTTGTTTTGTTGATGTAACCTCATTAAATTTTTCATAAAAATGTGCAAGAACAGGGGAAAAAATTATTTATTTAATTTTATCTAGGTATAGGCTATTATTTAGGAACTTATTACTTGGTGCGATTGTAATAAATATAGTTTCAGTGGGATGAATAATGTTTTATTTTTCTATATAAGTTACAAAATTTTAATGAACTCTAGAAATTTTGCGCTTTATTTTAATAATTTGTTGATAGGTTTTGAGGAAATAATTAATTACTGCATGCATTTTTTGCAAGCTTTAAAAAAATATGTATCTGTTTTACTTGATAAAAATGCGAGAAAAAGTATTATTTGATAGTCAAATAAATGCATTAAAGTTACCACAAAGGTTTATAGTATTTACTTATTTCTCTCTCCATATTTTTTTAAAAAATGCTGTAATGAAATTCATAAAATATGGATATTTATTTACTTAATCAAGGAATTTTGTTTGAAATATATTAAACTATTATAACATTAGTTTTAAGATAGTATGGTTAGCTTAGAAAATGCCTTTCTTCTTTATCATCAGAATTTCTATCGTTTTTAAGAATATTTATTTTCTCACGAAGGGAAATAAAGCACGTACGGTACAAAATTCTTTGTAAAGTCATAATGTGATAGATAATTTTAAACCAAAATGCATTACAAGAAAAGTATTATTCGTACGTTTATCTAATTCTTTAAGAGTATTCCATTCCATGTTTAAAATTCTTGAGAGGATTTCAATAAAGATAAATTAGTACATAGAAAATAAAATAATAAACAACACAACATTGAGAAAAATGAAAAATGCTGCACAATTGTTCTGTTCATAAAATAGTTTGCAGCACGTGCCTAATTGAATTTCATATTGATCAGAGTAAAACCAATGTAGATTTTGTAGATTTTTTATCCATTATGTAGAGAGTCTGATGAACATTAAATCTGTAGAGACTCATCCTTATGTGGTATGGTGTGGAAGTTTAGACAGAGGGCCATCTCAGGTGAAGTACTCATTACTTAACCCTTTATTTACTTATGGTGCTAATAAGTACAACTCACTTTAAAAGTACATAGAACAACCATTTTTACGAATATACTGATAATACTTTGCAGTAATACTCTTTTAAATCCACTCTTCCAGTATATACAGAACCTCGTGTTCTATAATGAGTATTTTAGTGAGGATGGCGAATAGTTTTAAAACTGAAGTTGCGTTTTCAGCTGCCAATTTGATTGGATTGCCACGCTTGTCATTTTTTCCCCACAAAAGTAGTTAAATTCAAAAGGTAAGTGTCTTATTTTTTTTACATGTTAGTTAAGACATAGACAACGATTTTACTATTTAATTTAAATGAACAATGTATATAATTGATTTTATAGTTGAATAACTTTGTTGTGCTTATAAATACCGCCAGTACACAGGATGTTAGAGAAAGCACTACGTGTTAACTTTAGGAGCGTGTAGTTTATAGTTGTTTTTTGTTGTGTTGTAGGTTCATTACTAAAGTGTTATAAAATTATGTTGTTGTTGTTGTTTTGGCATTTCTTTTTAGTCTAACCTATTTATTTTGCTTTTTAATTTTATTTTATTTTATTTTATTTTATTTTATTTTATTTTATTTTATTTTATTTTATTTTATTTTATTTCCTTAACGTTTTCAAAACATTTTGAAACTGGAATCTGAGCTTGCTTTTATTTGCCTCACAATTAAATTAAATATCTATTCTTTATTCAAAAATTAACATATATATATACAAAAATATCATAACACATTTCATTCATATACGGATCCCCTTGGTCTTCGTAATTCCTTGGAAGCCTCTTCCTTCCGTGGGAATGTGCGGCAAGGGCTTGTAAACGTTCAGGAATTTGCAAGCCGTTAGGACCCGAGAGACAACCCTACTTTGGCGCGAGGCGATTAATTATAGCATTACATTTTCTCTTTTCTTAAATACGAGATTCCACTCCTACGCCTGCAATTTTAGAGCCAACTTACCTCCCAAAACATCTCGAACCCGTATCAGGAGTTTCCCGTACTCTCCTCTTTCATGTCAGGGAACGATGCAGATAAGCTTTATTTTTAAACATTACCATTAACCGGTACTCTCCCTTGGCATACCTGTCGTTAAATTTGTACAAATTTGACTTCCTAAGTAAACTTATTATATGTTATGTTACTGACTCTGTTCCGTTATTAATAGAGACGTAAAACAAAATTTGTAAAAATGCAAGTCCAGTGTAAAAATGTCATTAATCTAATTGTAATGATAATGAGAACAAAATTGTAACTCTTTTTTCAGATACTGCATGAACATACAAGCAAAATGAAAAGAGAAAAATTACAATTACGCTTACAGTTAAGTTAAATTTGTTGTTTGCATCCAAGCATATTATTAATTGAAATATAGCAAAAACCACAAATTAAACTTCATTGGGGAACACTTAGATTCGTTTTAAAGGGTGCATTTCAGTGATAATTTGCCCAATTTTCTTTCATGCCCTAAAACAAAAAATAAAAAGAAAGTTCCAACGAGTATGAAGATACCATCGATAATAAGATAGTTTTAATAGGTTCGAAAAATGCATGTCAATTTAGAAACAATGGTAATAGGCTTCATAAACGTTTTCATAACTGACATAATTAAAATTGATGCTTTAATTACCATAAACACCGGCTTATGGCACGCGCTTGCGTATAATGCGCACCCACACTAGCAGGCTGATTTCTTCAATTGCTACTATTAGTTCCCTCTCTCCCTATAATATATATATATAATATATAAATAAAATGAAAGAAATACATGCCATAATAAAATGATAATACAAATAATATCATAACAAAGCTAGAAGATTCAAACCAGATTTAAAGAAACACACTTTAAAAATAATGGAAGAGTCTATTATAGAAGAATTAACTAGCGTATGTATAACATATATATATATATATATATATATATATATATATATATATTAAACTTGTCGTGGATGACACTTGATGTTAATACAGTTTTTTCAAATATTAATTCATTAGTTAAATTTAAAAATGAATAAATTTCAACAAACAAAAAATAATAATCCAGCAGCATATATAGAAAGGAAAACAATTCGTTGTGTCCCTGTAGCGCAATGGATAGCTCGTTGGACTGCAAATCCAAAGGTCGTGGGTTCGAATCCCCACCTGGGATGGCCTAGTTTCTGAGAATGGGGTTTCTTTTTTACTATACTATTTTATTAGAATAATTAAATTTAATTAATGAATAAATAGTATCAAACAAACAAACAAAAATAGCCTAACAACATATATAGAAAGGAAAATGGAAAATTGCAAGTAAAAACGCTTTTTTTTTTGTCACGTACTATTGTGATTTTGTCATATGTATATACATATTTATATTAATTATAACTATTTAAAAAAAGCTAATAAAATAAAATAATAAAATTAATTAATTATAACTAAAATAAAAATTTTCTTTGTTGACCTAAGAAGGAATTGATTTAAAAACATGTTTATATATTGTTTAGTTTTAAAGTATATTTGCCGTATAACCTACACTCACTTGTTAGCGAAGTAACCTGATGTCTACATATGTAATACTCTTACATTTTTTGAAATCAGAAATTCGAGATACATATTATCCTATACTTTTGAAAAAATATCATATTCCTTGAACTACAGCTTTTTAAGTTCATAAGGTGTGTCATTTCTTTTAAAAAACAATATTTTGATCTATGTAGATGTCTATTTTTTTCACATTCGCCTTTTTTTTTAAGATATCCTTTTTATACCCGGCGTATAATACACACCTGTAAATTTTAATTCTATTCCTTGTGTTAAAAGTGCACGTTATAAGCCAGATTTTACGGTATTTAAAATTTATATTTGAATGATGTCCAGAAATATGAGCTAATGCTTTTCTGCATTATATATTTCAATGCGAATGTATTAAGAAAAAATGCGGTACTTCTCTGTTCGATGTGTACCAAACCAAAACCACGAAGCTTAAAAAATTACTAAGTGTAACAAATTCTCTTTACTTAATATTTTACAAATATGATAATTTATTAAAAATTAATATAATTAATAAAACACTTTATTAATTGTGATTAAATTATAGTCCACCCCAATGTCAACTTTTCTGTGATATCCAACAAAACCAAAAAGTATCCAAACAGGCAATGATTACATGTATTCCTAAGATAATCTTATTTAAAAGCTAAATTTATGAGCGCATTAAAAAGGTTGTGTAATGAGATTTCAGGTAGAAAGCAATTACACTTTCTACATAATGGGGTGATAAATATAGTGGATTTAAGTACACTACACACATAAGGTGACACGGCAGGTATCTATCTCTGAAAGAACTTCCACAAATTCACAAATTATGCGAAAGTTAATTCGATATTACTAATAAAAGATTGTATTGAATTTTCTTGTACAAATGCTTTATTAAAAAGCTAACGTTTAAATGCAAAGAGTTATTTTATGCTAAAATCTTCAAAAGTTAATTTATCCTGCTTCCAAACACGCGGGTTTCTTTACCTTTCTCTAAAAAAAATTGTTCATGATGCTGTTTTTAATTTATCTATACATAAGGTATAGATCATAAAAATAGTTTGTACAAAGTTGAAGTTAACTGAAGAGGAGCGTCAAGAACGATTTGCCAAGGGGGTCCTCCCCATACCTTCCAGCGCTTTCTCGAAAATTCTACTTACGTCATAGAGCGTAATGTTGTAAATTAAATGTTAAATGAGAATAGATGGCGCTGCAAGTCATTTGAGAGATATACTTCGTTTAGCTTGTAGAGTCAGGGTTATGTAATGTCCTTTGTCCTGTATGCATATCTTCTCTGTTGTCTACGAAATAAACCAAAATATCTAAAAGAATGGACTGAATCATTGGATTTATATAAAATAAACTAGTGTCCAAAAGTTAAGGATAAATCGTAAAATGCGAAAAACATGAAGTAAATATTCGTAAAATTATTCCAAATTTCTTGCGGATATTAATTGGATGAAGAAGAAGCATTGGGTTTATGCAAAACTTTTCAGTCGACTAGGTCCTGCGCGAAACACCGGCGCATGTCGGAACGCGGAGAAACCAATTCAGGCAGCAAAGGCAGTTCAGACAAGTTTCGTGCAACTGCTGTGCGAAGGAAAGTTGTTAATCATCAAACAAGGTGAATGATGGCACAAAGACGTCAATTGGATATGTTGACGAAAGGAAGAATCGTTAGAATGCTGGAATCCTCACGATCACAAACCGAAGTGTCTCGAATTCTGAATGTGGACCAGTCTGTGATCTCAAGACTGTGGCAGAGGTTTCAAAGAACGGGAGATGTTACCCGACAACCAGAATCAGGTCGACCAAGAGTCATAATCCCTCACCAAGACCGGTATCTGGTAATAAGTGCGCGACGTCAGAGGGGCAGTACTGCCAGAGCACTGGGTTCGGCGCTCACAGTCGCCACAGGAATACGAATTTCGAGAAAAACTGTTTACATGAGACTCAATCATGCTGGCCTGTAAGCCAAAGACCAGCAGTTCGCATTCTCCTCACGTCTGAGCATAAACGCGCTCATTTGAAATGGAGTTTGAGATATGAACATTGGAGTGTGAGAGAGTGGGCCAATGTGATGTTCAGTGACGAGTCCCGGTTTAGTCTGAGTAGTGATTCTCGGCGGGTAGCGATATTTAGAGAACGTGGAACACGTTTTCAACCAAGAAACATAACGGAAAGATATCATTTTCCATCAAGGGGAGTAATGGTATGGGCAGGCATCATGATGGATGGTCGCACAGACTTCCATTTCTTTGACACGGAGTCTGTGACTGCTCAAAGATACAAAGACGAAGTTCTTGAGCTTTGTTTTCGCTTGTTTCTAGGTGCTGTTTGTCCTGACTTCCTATTCATGGATGATAATGCGCCATGTCACCGAGAGGTGCTGATTGATGACTTTCTTGAAACGGAAAACATCCAGCGCATGTCGTGGCCTGCGAACTCCCTGGATTTAAATCCTATCTAGCATGTATGGGATATGCTCGGAAGACAAATTTCTGCCCTTTCGCACCCACCAAGCTCCGTTACAGAACTGAAGAGAGCTCTCCAAGAAGCTTGGAACCGTTTGAGCCCCCAACTCATTCGTCATCTCATAGCAAGTATGGTAAATCGCTGTGCAGCGTACCTGGCTGTCAGAGGTGACCACACGCCTTATTAAACTGCAGCATCAGTATTTGATTTAATGTTTTCTTTCATTTTTTCTTTAAAGTGTGAATCCTTGCTATGCTCAGTTTTCTTTCAAACTGCTACTTTGTATAATAAAATTAATTATTATCATTCTTTTGATTTGCTTCCTTATTTTATAACCATTTTACCTTCGCATATCACGTTTCCCGCCATTCTGATTTACAGTTCTTCTTTATTCACATAATTATCAATTATGCTTAACTTTTGGACACCAGTGTATATTGGATATAAGCGTCTATCTGTCCCATGGAATTAAGGAATAAGGAATTATAACTTGAGATGCTGTAGATTTTTCCACTGATTTCCAGAAGCATCCATATGATCACCAAATTTGGTTGACAAAAATGATGCCAATTTGCCTGTACCGCCAGTGTTTCGCCAATTTTCCATTGCAACGCCTTTATAATATAAGAGGGGGAGATTCTTGCGATTATTACATTTTTTATCTTAAAATAAACGCAACAGAAAGTAATATTAATGTATTAAACATCCATATATAAACTATTCACATTATTTCAAGATGAAGCATTAATTACACAAAATATGCTCTATCTATAAAAAAAAGTGTCATATAGTTATTTACACAATTTACATTGCACTAATATATATTGAACAGTACACATTAAACTTGTTAAAACACATAATACAGTTTTACAATTTAAACAGTGGGTATAAATTAATACAAATTTGTACATTAGAGGCTGGTCCGTAGTTAAACGAACAGGAATTATTCTTTTGAGAATTTTTTTGTAATTTTCTACCACCCCCTAAATCTAAAACATTTAAAGCACTATCATTATTTCCAGTTAAAAAAAATATTAATTTATGAGAAAACTTACTGCCTTAAATCAGTTTATATAGAGGAAATCAACAACATATAATCTTGTTTTATATATATATATATCCTGTTTGTTTACGATTGTGTTTCGGTTTATCTCTTTTAATTTAGTTTCATATCACCTATATCTTCACTTTGTTATATTCCAAGCAACAGTACCGTTATCAGCTACGCAAAAAAAAAATTCGGTGTGAGAGCTACGGTATGCTGATGACGATTAAAATATAATCAATATTTTAAAATTCAATTATTACTCTGATTACAGAACATCTCATGAAATCCAGAATCGATTATGTTTGGTAAATAAGGCTTTTTTATGGGCTAAAAGGGTTTTTAAATCTAAATTTCCTTCGAGAAACACAAAATTTTTAATTTATAAAACTCTTATTAGACCAGTTCTGATGCATCTGAGACTAGGACAATAATAAAACTGGAAGAAAATCGAATGGCATCTTTTGAGAGAAAAATACTTCGAAGTATACTTGGAGGTATAAATGAAATTAATAGCTGGAGAAGAAGATACAGTTTTGAATTATATAGGATATATAAGCAACCTGAAATCATAAAATACATAAAAATAAATAGAATGAATAGGATGGCAATATAATTCGAATGCCAGATGATAATGTTGTCAAAAACATACTGCAATTCAAAGTCACTTTGATTGGGAAGCTTGGAAGACCAAAAATGAGATGAACAGACTCAGTGGAATCAAATTTCGGGATTATAAACGAGAAAACTTGGAGAACGAAGGTGAAGAAGTCACATTGGAGGAATCTTCAAAGGAAGCCATCAGCTCACAAGGGGCTGTCTTGCAAGATACGATGATGATGATTTTAAAATTCTACAATCCACACAGTTTTGGCTCCTTAAAGAATAATTCAATTTGGACTATAGCTTAGAAGTGGATGACAATGCACGAAAATGGTAAAAAAAGAAGTTCTAGTCTCGAACGCAGGCCCCCGAAGAGGCTTGTATGTCTGTCCGGGTGTAACTTTGTAATTGATTTTAAACTAACTTCCCGATGAGCTAGAGACTTGAAATTTGGACTATAGCTCAGAAGTGGATGACAATGCATAAAAATGGTTATAAAAGCATGGTACA